AACCTATGTCACAGAATAGATAGTCTTGACTGTTATTATTTATTGTTTGTGCTATGGCAGCACTGTGGAAACTAATATATGGGAGCCACTTTTCAGAGTGTAACTGTTCCACAGCAGCCATTGCTGGGGCCCATGGTATTTATAACTTTATGGAGTATTTTGAAAAGTGTAAATGGCATATCAAGATGTCAGTCATAAATATATTTTAATAACCATTTTATGTAGTTTTGACAAACTTAACTGTCTAACAGCCAATTATGCAAGATACTCCACAAAAGTCAGCTGCTAATGGCAAACCAGGCAGCTGTTAAAGGCTGCAGCTGTCTTTTTTTTTTTTTAATATATTAAATGTTGCTGGAAGTAATTTTATCTAATAAAGAATTTTCTTTTCACGTAGTCAATATTTAAAAATAATCTGTTTTTATTTTAAAAATTCTAAGTAGTAATTTTTTATTAATAGCTAAATGCTCTTCTTAGRTAAGATGTAAATGATCAAAACCTGTATCTGCTTTCATGCAGTATAACAATGAATCCGTGCATGTTTGGGATAATGGATAAATGTTGTTGTTGTACATATTGTAACTAATCTACACTGGAATCTGGGGTCCCAAAAWTAATATATGGAAAAGTGGCTTAAATAGTAATCTTCTCCATGACCGAGCAAATCCATGGCATGTCACTGAGAGATTTTTCAGGCAGTAATTATCTCTCCTCAAGACAGGAACGATAACTTCCATAATGAAGTGATAGAAACAAGAGAGAAGGATTCTGATGAGCATTATAACGAGCCCAATAGCATTCCTGCTCGTTAGAGTATTCACAGTGAGGGATGTCATGTGCGCAACTTATGCACGTGTCCTTTGTTGATTGCAGTATCTATGCATGCAAAAATATACAGCAATTTGCTTCAGTGCAAATTGTACAAGAGGTTCCCTATCTTCAGCTGAAGACTAAGCTTTGGGATAGGAAAGGTGTCCTCCTCATCACTAGATGGCTTTTGTGAACCTATTTTATTTGAGTGGGAGCATTCATATTGGAAAGGGGGAAAATGGGAACATTCGTACAGACATGCTCTGTTTTCCACATACTGCAACAGTAACAGCTGAGGATGATAATGTCTTAGTTTGCTCAGAYTCAGTTGTAAGCACTTATTAGGCTATGCTCTTAGACAAGCTGTTGAACAGAGAAGTCTGTGTACATGCTACCTGCTTCTCCTTATGTCCTAAACTGCAGCCTGTGTTCTGTTTCRGCATGGAAATGTACCCTGCTCTGCACCTAGAAGATACTGGCTCCTATGTAGCTCCTTTCCGGGAAATTGTGTTTAGCAAAATACTCTTGAGAGTGAAAATAAAATGCAAACTATATTATGTGAGTGGTAGCTGGTAAAGGAAGACACATGGCCCATTCGGCTTCTCCTTTTGGAACTGTTCCAATTCAGCTATACTTAATAGTGTAAGCCAGAGCAAATCCCATTTTGTAGGAGAGCAATGCAGCCAAGTCCCAAAGGGGAAATATGGAGAGCAWCATGATTAAAAGCAGAGAGGCAGTCGGATGGGTGAGTTGCAGACAGACTCACTGAAAAATCACATAAGCCATCTATATAACCCAGCTTGCCTTCTTGGCCCTTTTGCCTCAATACCCAGGGGTTGTGTGCCCCACTCGCCCCTCAGAGCCCTAGGTGCCAAACCAGGAGTCGGGCCCAAGACCAGGAAGCTCTTTAGCACTGGGGGCCTTGTCAGCCCCAGGAGGCYGAGGCTGGTTCAGGGGCTGGGAGGTGGTTTGTGTGCTGGTGTCTCAGCCTGGCTGTGAACCTGCTGCCCTTCTCCCACTCAGCACCTAATGCGTGGGTGTAGGGTGGAGCTCCAGGCCCACAACTTGACTCCAAACACTCTGCGTAAAAATGACTTTACTCTGTGCCCATTTCAAAGGAAACAAGTATCTCCCTCTTCAACTATTTTTTGAAAACTTTATAGGTATATTTGTTTTTTTGTAGATGCTTATTCTAACAGATGGCACAAAGAAAATTTGGAGGTTAAGTGTTTATCATGTGACAGCATCAGGGAAAATGCAAAGAATAGTGGCAGGAATTTACAAAGGATCTACAAATATCATCATGCACATTCCTCATTGCCCATGTTGCAAATATAACTCAGTTGCGTTAAAAAGACAGCAGTCTTAAGTTTGTTGTATAGACATCACACAAGAGGTTGAGTGTACTATTTTCTAGGCTTGATGGAACCTTATAAAGTGAATGTCATATAGYTGAAGACAGTAATCAAAGGCTCAAGGTAACCAAAACCATACGCGATTTGCATTTGATAATAGACTGAAATACCTGGGTTTTCTATTGCCCCAATTCTTGTCCCAGAACACAGTTAGAGAAGCTGTGTTGTGCCTTAGAGAATAACTCACAGCCTGATACTGAAAAAAAATAACTGCCCCCTGGGATAATAGGTCTAAGAGTAGCCCAAATGCCAGCCACCCCAGTGTTTGACTTTCAGGCAGGGGCAGCAGCTCTTCCGTATGTCAGGGGGCCCACCTATAGAGCCCAGCTCTTCTGTACGTCAGGGGGCCCACCTATACAGCCCAGCACTTGTGTGGGTTCCTGCAGGTTAGTGTTGCCCACTGAATCCCTAAAGAGCCTGAAAGCAGGTGCTTTGGGAAGCAGGGAGAGAGATGCTGTGTCAGCATTACCGAATAACGCGGGGCAGGAGAAGGAGACTGGGGAAGCAGCCAGGTCTGGGTACCTAACTGCAGTCGCCGGGGAATTGCTTAGGAGAATCTCTAATCTGGTCTCATGGACTGACTATCCACTCATTTGGTCAGCTCATTTGGTGTGTTCTGGAGCTCACCTGCTTCTCTAGTTTCAGTTGAAAATAATTAAGTCTGCAAGCCCTGAGACCACACTGCAAGGCAAGCCACAGCGTAGACTCTGGCAAGCCACAAGGTTTGACCAGGAGATGTAGGAGATGTTATCTAATTGCAACTATTGCGAATTTTGTGAAACTCAGAAGCCACAAATGAGTCTATTGGAAATACAGGGGCTCAACTCTGCCCTGTTGTGGTGCRGGTGCTGCCCACAGGCAGCAGAGCCCCCAGCAGCGACAGGAAAGGGCTTTCGGGGGCGATGGAAGCAGCTGCGCTGCAGGTCCTGCGCCCTGCCCAGCTTTCGCCGGATAACAGGATTAAGATACAGCTGCAGGATGGCGTAACAAGGCTGGCGCGCTTGTCTTCATGGTGCCTCTTTATCAGGGATTGCTGCCCCCAAACTTACAAAAGGGGGGCCTTTAATTAGTTTCAATTTAAGAGTTTAATATTAATCTCTTTTTGAAGAGAAACTACATACTAGCTGAAAGAACCTAAAAGGAGTTGCAACAAATACAGGCAGCGATGTCCGCCTCTTTATAACTAACTTTGTGCTGTAGCTAACTTGCAGAGTCTACATGTAAATTGAGATACTCAAGCAATTGAAAAGCTGCAGATTAATCTACATATGACTCTTCTCAGCTTTCACCAACAGAAATTCAGTCAGATTATGAACTATGATTTTGTAGCTTCATTTTCCACTATATCATACAGAGAATATACAAGAAAATTGATGCAGGGTTTGCATTTCCTTCTAGACTTGGGCAGCAGAACATTAAATAATAGCATTTGCTGGTCTAGTCTGCACTTTAATACGTTTTCTTCACTTGCTTAATTGTATTAATGGAAAGAGGAGGAGGATTTTGTGGCGAGCACAGAGGACTGGAAGTCAGGTGATCTGGGTTATATTCAGAGTTCTGCCACAGGCTTCCTGTGCAGCCTGCCCTAATCAGGTTTGCTAATATATAAAATGAAGGTAATGACATTTCCCCTTCTTGCCAGGGTGTTGTGACACTTAATTCATTAATGTTTGTAAAGTTCTTTGTGCTCATTGCTTCTAAATGTGCTCCTTACTGTAATGTCTTATGGACGGTATTAAAGTCGAGAATAAYGTTACTTTAGTGCCTGTGCTAAAAGTTGGCAGAAGTGTAATAAAGGCCATTATTTTCATGTATTTTATGAGCTACTGGAATCTTTAGATGACTTACTTGAAATTTAGCTAATATAGTTAGAGTTATAAAATATACTATGTCAGTTCTATGCCTGATTTTGTGTGCGTGTGTGTATGTGTGTCCTTTCGCTATGATGAAATATTTATCAGTAAGCAAGACTACCTTGTTCAGGCTCGGAAGGGGAAGAAAGAGTTTGGCAGATACTTTGTTATAGAGGCAACTGTCTACCCTGGTAAATCCCCAAGCACTTCTGTGTCCCAAGGCGAAATGTACTGACAACTTGAGCAAGAAATTAAGTCAAAAATATTTTTGGATAGGAAAATGACCTGTAATACCTACCTAAATTGCAGCAATACTACAGGACTCAGCAAGTGTATAATAAAGTGCAGTTAAAAACAAATAAACAAAAACCTTAAAGTTTCTAAAGATTCAGCAATGAAACTCGCAGTAAATTCACTAGTCACCGGTAAATCAACTATTAGTCACATGGTTAGATCTCTATGTAGCACAGGAAAGCTATTCCTCAAAGCTCAAGTTTACTCTCTTACATGTGGAAAGGATTATATTGCTTAGAGCAAATTAAGTTGTACACAGAAGTGAAAGAACAATAAAATGCTGAATTCTTAAAATTTAAAAGCAAGAATGTTATTAGTATTCATTGTACACAAGTGAATTTTTTCAGAATGTGRTAATTCACTAAAATTCTACACCATAAAATCCAGCATTTATCACACAATTGCAATTTACATACCTCTGTTTTTAATAGCCAGCGATAATTACATGAGGTGAAAAAAAAAGAATTACAGACTTACCATAAATAGAAGCAATTCATTCAAGGCTGTGCACTGTTTGTCAGAGAGAAACCACGCTGCTGATACCGCATAAGAAAAAGCACACAGGTCCCCTTACAAGTACTGTCCAACAGTAAGTTAGTAGCAAGGAAGGCAAGCAGCTGACACTTACTATCATTATAAAAGTTCCCAGGAATTCTGAGAGGGCTTCTTTAGCAAAGCTGTTCTTCAAGGCAAATCTCTCCTTCAAACTCCCCTTGTTTTTCCGGCTCATTTTTGCTTCCTCTATTGCTCTGCAGCCCTAGTTACAAATACACACAAAATATGCTCTGTAATCGTCCCTGCTTCAGCTGAACTTTGACACTTTTACTTATACATTGAAATATGAGATTTCATCCCGTACGGCCAGTGAAATCATCTGACTGCAGGCACTGACAGAACCAACTCAACGTGCCCTAACAATTCATCATGAGTTTCCGTCCTGTGCCTTCTCTGAGTATGCTTCTATTTATACTGGCTAGATAACACCAGTAAGTTCACAATCAGAACTTTTCCTTTTTTTTCCTGCAGAGTGGATTAATTATTACCTGTCAAACTGTGGGGTTTTTTGGGTTGCTTTTTTTTTTTTTTTTTTTTTTTCTGGAAAAAGGTGGTAAAGATGTTATTCTTGTCACCCCAATCAAAAAAGACAAAGTGATACTACAGAATAAGGGACAAAAATATGGAACAAAATTTTGCTCTGACCTAATTGGGATTTAAGGCATGCTACTATTGGCTGTCTGAAAACTTTTTAAGGGGAGGTTGCAAAAGAGTGAATGCTTGTGAGGACACTGTGCTCCAGCCCTGTAAACAAAAGCTCCTGTCCGGTCAGTTCGAAGGGATTTCAGTAGCTAATGAGGAATCTCACTTTGGAAGGGTGCTGAATTTGTATATTCGTGCACAATGCTCTTTTGGGACTAAATGCCTTGCTCTCTAGTGACCCTGTTTGCAAAAGAGCAACGAGGCAGAATGAATTAGGAACATTTAATGAAATCCGCTCCGGTCCAGTGGCTGCCTGTAGTGCAGCATAGGCAAGTGAGGCACTGAGAATATGTTGTCGATATGTTTAGCTTTAAAGCACGTAGGTGCTACAAGGTGCAATGTTATAATGTTGTTTTCTACAGTTTTGATGAAAACTTACGCTCTTGAATGTCTCCATACCTGGGCCTCCACGAGAAAATTACTGCACTCTTAATCTCTTAAGCATCTTGAATGCTTTTTGTCAGGTGTGATGCTGATTTGATTAGCATGTTGTCTGGTTCATTTACAAATATTTTCTTCACTTGACTTGATAGTGAAACCTAGTTGGCCCAGTTGTGGGAGGTTATTTTGTCACGTGTTGCATATGCTCAGTGATTTGGTTTGTATCTCTCCTAAAACCTTATTACCTTGATAATAAAAGTAGGTGCCCGCTTTGAATTTGATAAGCCGACGGGCCTCTTCCCTGCTGTCCCATCAGCACTTGTGCTTCCCTCAAGCCAGGGCTCCATGCAGCTGTAGCCATCTTACTACCTCCAATGTCATTCCTTAGCCACCCAGTTTCTCCAAACCATCCAATTTCAGCCCCTAGCCCCTTCTCTGTGTTCTTTTATCCACCTCTCTCTTACCACTCCATGCAAACACCCGTCGTGTTGCCAGCTGCCACTGACAGCTCTGCACAGAGCCAGGGAGCAGCTGGGAACCAGCAGCTACCGAGAGTCCCTCGCAGGGACTCGGCCTGGCGCAGGTCAGCACGTGCACAGGGACAGCCGGGAGGAGCCTCTGGAAATAGTTTGTGAGTTGCCATTTAGCCTACGTACTGCAAAACAAAGATATTATTCAGGACCTTAATTATCGCAGCATGTTAACATACATATTTATTTTATCTTTGAGTAAAGAAATCTTTCAAAATGATGTGTACAGTAGAATTGAAGGAGAATCCCAAGGAGGCTTTTCATTTAAGCAAGAATGAGATAAACCACTTCCTCTCTTCTAGGAAAATGGGAAATAAATAAATACATTTATGAAAACAATTTTTAGTTCTCTCTGCATAGCAGCTCTTATGCAGATGTAAGCCGTCCTCAGAAAGCATTCTGAGGAGCCAGTTCAGCTTCTCAGTTTACTCTCTAACAGGCGTGAACTTCATTTCCCAACTAACAACAGTGCAATAAAATGTCAGTGAGACAGAATCCCCTACTCATTTGTCCAGATCATGTTGCCTTCCTCAAAATATTTTTCTGTTTTTCAGGTGGATTTCCTGATGGAAATATGTGCATCCTATATTTGCTTYCTTTTCTTTAACACTTCATGAAACTCACATAGTTTAATTCCATTAAAACTTAAGAACACTGATGCTAAGTTAGAATGAATCTTCTTCATGTGGCTCCACAGCCAGGTTCCAGCAGAGGATGGTAGTGGATGCTCCTAGAAAAAGAAAAAAAAAAAAAAAAAAAAAAAAAAAA